TAGTTTTCTTAGATAGGACCCAAAAAGCATGAATCCAAAAAAAGAAAAGAAAATGGAACTTCATTAGAAATAAACTAATTTTTAGAAATATTCCTAAGAAAATGAAAGGCAAGCCACAGATTGGAAAAAAAGACTCGCCATACATGTATTTGGCAAAAGGACTTGATCCAGACTATATCAAGAATTCTTTCAATCTAGTAAGACAATATTTTAAAAAATTAACCCAAGATCTGAACGAATTCTTTACAAAATAAGATAAATGAAGGATCAAGAAGCACTTGCAGAACACTCAGCATCATTGGTCCTGGGGAAAGACATACCACAACCACAATGAGACGCTGCCACAGACATATTAGTGTGACTAACATTAAAAAGACTGCCGATTCCAAGTTTTAATAAGGACCTGGAGAAACCAACTAACTCTCATCTATTATTGGCAGAGCATGAAATGGTACAACCACTTTGAAAAATAGTTTGGCTGTTCCCTACCTGCACTTACCAAGTATTTCCCCTCCCAGGTAGTATCCAAGAGATTGAAAAATTAGTTTCACACACACACACAAATGTGTCCATGATTGTTTATAACACTTCATTCACAGGAGCTAAATCTGGGTACAGAAGTTCCATCAACAGATGGGTGAAAGAACAATGTTGGCATAGCCTAACACTGGAACACTACTTCCCAGCAAGAAAGACTTTATCTACCTATACGCACAACACGAACGAATCTCCAAGTCCTTATGCTGAGCAAAAGAAGCCAGACACAAAAGAGGATAAATTGTGTGATTCTATTTGTATGAAATTCATCACACGAATAGAACACAAAGCAGATCAATATTCACCTAGGGCTAAAAGTGGGGAAGACAAAGAAACAGGGAAGAACCCTTTGGGGTGAAGAAATCATAACATATCCTGATTATGGGGGCAATTACCCAGGTGACTTGTCAAACACATCTACAGATTATTAAAATAGGTGCATGCTGTTCTCTGTAACTCCACTTCAATACAACTGATTTTCAAACAGAATAGAGAGTGTAAATCCATATCTCATGTAGCCTTCTTAATAAGGCTGACTCTTTTTGCCCACTTCTTGGCAAACCCAGTTAGAATCTCTTTGATGTGTCTGGCTGTTTTTACTATTTAATGTAGCTGGTGAAGAGCCTATCCTGGTCATGGAAGTTCTGTTGGTTTTCTAGTTGCTAGCACCTGTTTGCATTATGCGTAACATCTTCAATCCACAATCTTCTCGGGACTCTTTGCAACCCACTTTTTGAAGGGAATGATTTCCTTAGACCCGGATGAGGTGATCCATAAACCCATCCTCCTGGCACATGTAAGAAGCAATGCTCTGCAGGCCACTGGGAGCAAGTCACACCTGATGTTCCTCTTTTACATTCTCTACATGGGGAACTCCTGCCCGGAAACTCCAGATGAAATGTGATTGTCTAAAATAGAGACTAAGGGACGACATACCTCTCCATTCTTGTTGGTTAAAATTAATTTATTTTAAATGAAGAACAATTAGAAGGATATTCCATATAACAATCTAAAATAATCACCTACCATGAGATTCCCACATCCCACTCTGCAGAGTCCAGTCTTGAAGGCTAGAGAAATTAGGGAGGCAGCGGGATGGAAAGAGGGGAGACAGCGTGGCCATGCCATGGCAGGAGGGAGCTCCACTGCTCAGCTCTACAGCCTGTCCACCTCGTCTGTTTCATTGCACTAACTTGAACTTGATGCTATTTAGAAACATTCAAGATATCTGCTGAGACCACGACACTCTGAGGTGTCCCCAGATGGTCCAGCTAGGAATGGAGAGCATCAGAAAATCTCTACTCAGAGTCACCTTGCAATCTTACAGTTTCCACCTTCCCAAGTATTTCACCTTCATAATTTTATATATTCACCTTCTTGTCTAATGTTTACAACAGCCATGGGAGGCAAGTAGGGAAACAAATACAATTTCCATTCACAGATGAGCCCGCCGAGCCAGGAAGGAGTCAGGTGAGCATGGAGGGCACCTTCTTTGACAGAGCTCTGGGATTTGTGAAGTTCTTTGCTAGTTCTGTCTGTGTCTCGCTGTTTTCAGGGAGACAAACATACACAGGCACACGTACGTACATACACATATATGCATGCGTGCATATGTGCACACACTAACACACATCCCCCACAGTCACATCTGGTACTACCTCCTAGCCTGGACTCATCTGGGCTTCTCTACCAGAATTCCTCAGCCCCAACTCCTGTCTCCTTGCAGCTTCACACCTAGATGCTCCTTCTTCTTGCTACAGTAGCAGCTGGCAGCCAGCCTAGACCTCCATTTCATTCCCTATACACCCCACTGCAAGTTGGGGGACACTGAGGGTGGGTGGGGTTAGGCAGAGGTTTGCCTCCTTGAAAGGATGCATGTACCTCCTGGTATTGTCCGTCTTCCTATTCCAACAGAACTCCATTCTTGTAGCCAGAGGGGTGTGGACTTTGGGGAAGAACAGAAAATCCCTTAGGGAACAACAACCTTTCAGCAGAGAAGCCCACATTTTCCTGGGAATGCCTTGGCTCAGCCCCTTCTTATAGGAGGCTGTGATTAGTGTTTGACCCCAAGATGGCCAAGACACTGATGCTCCATTCATTGCCACAGCCCCCAGCAACCTGGAGATGGTGTTAGAGAAAAGGAAACTCCTAGCAAATGACTGCATTTGGTTTCATCACGAGCTCCGTTTTGTGTCTGACAAGGGCAAGCTTTGAACTGGAATCCCTCCACCTCCAGCTTTCCATTGTGTGCCCAAGAAAACACAGCAGAAAGTCCTTGGAGACGACTGTGTGCTCAAATTGTATTCAGGGCTGACTCCCAAGGACCGGGACTGTGGACTGTTAGCAAAGCCAGAGGGCCTCCTAGCGGCAGGAAGCGGCATTTTCTGCTGGCTGAAGTATTTTGCACACAGAGGACCCGGTCCTTCTGTCTACAGAGCTGAGAGAGCCTCTCTCCGCTTCAGTGCAGAGCTAATCCATCATTTCCAACCCTGGAGACACAGACGGGAATGTCACCCCTCTCCTTCCAACTCAGGGTATAGTTTAACTTTCTTACTTTTTCTAATGTCACATTCAGAAAGAGAGAAAGAAGTCCCCATCACAGTTGTTGCCTGTTTGCCTCTGTCCCTGGCCGTAGAAAAGGATCCCTGATGGTGAACCTAGTCAGGGAGAACTCCAAAGAGCAGCCTGGGCCACAGCCCATTGGAAGGGCTCAATGGAAAGGGTGGCCAGGGGCTTCTTTGACCTGGAGCCAGAGCTTGCCCTGGAGCCAGTCTCAGGGAGCTAGTCAGGGCCCACAGCCATCCCCCAACCCCCACAGGGGGTACCGGAGACAAATGAAGCTCAGAGCCAGCCCACCCGTGAGGCCCCCTCCCCAGGACATGTCATGCTTGGGGTTACCTCTCAGCCAGGCTACGACTCAACCTCTCAGTTTGGAATTTGAACAATTCAAGGGAAGATGTAGAAGCAGAGGGCAGTGGGCTAAATGGTGGACCCCAAAAGACATGTCCACATCCGAACCCCCATACCTGTGAATGTGGCTGAGTTAGCGATAAGGACTTGGCAGATATAATCATGTTAAGGAATCACAATGAGATCCTTCTGCATCTAGGGCGGGCCCTAAATCCAATGACTGGGTTAGAAGAGAAAGGAGAGGGAGTGGAGACACAGACAGGAGGGGAGAAGGCCCTGGGAGGATGGAGGCAGAGGCTGGAGGGAGGCAGCTACGAGCCAGGGAACGCCAAGGCCTGGGCTGACCTCCAGGAGCAGGCGAGAGCCGTGGATTAGCTCCTCCCACAGAATCCCCAGAAGGAACCAACCCTGCCAACACCTTGATCTTGGACTTCCAGCTTCTGGAGCTGTGAGACAGACAATAAACTTGGGCTGTGGAAGCCACCACTCTGTGGTATCTGTTACTGTAGCCCTAAGAAGCCCCAAGAAGCCATTTGAGAAGTGAAGTCCGATCGGGAACCTGCCCTCTGGAAAGGTCTGTGCCAGCACTACCATGACTGGAGGATACGGCAGCCCATTTCTCAGCAGGGAACGTGACCTTTGACCGGCCACTTCATTTCTAGAAGGTCTAAGGAAGTGATTGGGCATGTTTGCAATGCCCTATGAACAAGGTGTCGCTACACCCCTTGTGTATGGAGGCAAAACAGTGGGAGGGCCACAGCCTCCTCCCCACCAGCTCAAGCAGAAACCTGACAGCCCCTGGTCCTTCCAGGACCCTCTCCTCAAAGTCTGTAGGTCCCCAGCCAGTTCCAGCTGCTGCGGGCAGTGACTCCCAGACCCACTGCATGTACGAGCCTGGTCTCTGGGGGAGCACAGGGGCCCCACCTGTATCCCACTTAACCTGAGACAGTCCAGCTGGCACCTGCTGACCGACTATCTCATCCAGTTTAGCTTTTGTCCCAGAATTTTTAAATTTTAATTAAGTAGTATTAAGAAGGGCTGCTCAAGAGAAGTCTAGATGGGCTGGGTAGGCCCTGTCTCTGCTCCCAGCCTCTGCTGGGGCCACGCCTCATGGTTCGGGAGACGTTCGTATGCTGGTCAGAGCTCCTTCTCAACATATGATTCAGTCTGAAAGGCCCCAGCAGCAGCCTGCCCGTCTCTCCTGGTCCCTGCCATCCTGAAACATGGAAATACCTCATGGTGACAAAAAAGTTAACATAACCTGCATTTAGATGAATTTCCTCTGAATCTCCTAGGTTAATTAAGATAGGATGGTCTACGGAAAAGAAAGCGATAACTCAAGATATGAGCATTTTCAATTTATCCGTAATAAAATGCAACTTTGAAAAAGAATTCAGGCAATCTGTTGAAAACTAAATATAACACCACATTTTGAAAAATATATTTTTTAGAAAAATAACAGTGCTGCTCAATTAAACAACAAGCCTCCCTTCCTAAAGGAATACTCCAACATTAAAATGCAAGGCGACTCCTGACCAAGTCAGCACAGAGAGATGACGCACGCTCGTGAAGGCACCGGAAGGCTCTACGTGTGGGCAGAGCCCCCAGCAGATGGCAGTCACCGGGGAACTTCCATCATCAGAACCAGTGGAAAGACTGGGCCCCTGTCCCACGGCCTCCGGTGCTTCTCCCCAGAGTGGCAGCCAGGAGCCCAACTCCTTGGAAATCCTCAGGGCAGGAGATGTGCCTTCATTCCCCTCAGTCCCTCATTAGTGCATCTGACATCCACAGAGGGAATTTCCACAGTGATCCCAACACTACCCTTCTGAGATCCCCCCAGTGCTCCCACCACCATTCCATGACTCTCGATCTACCTCTTTCCTGGGATCCTGTGCTGGGAAGCCTGGCCCTACCGTGGGTGTCTCCATGGGGCTGGGGACTCTCAGAGCAGCAGCCAGCCAGGCCCGGCAAGGTACAGGGCTCCAGCCAGGTAAAAGGGCCAGCCCCTGGATTCTGGTCCCACCCCCAGGTCTGGGACGCCCTCCTGTAGCCAGGCCCTCAACCGTCAGTCCTCCTCTGATGCTGGGCTGCTCTGGGACACTCATGTCCACCCACCCCAGCTGGGGCACCTCATCTGCTTTGGGTCTCGGGTGTTTCTTCTTCCAGAGCCGCAGACAGGTTTCTTAGGTGGGGTCAGAACCTGGACATGCCTGGACCACCAGGAACCAAGAAGTTTCCAACCCCAGCCCGATCTGGCTCCACCCGGTGCAAGACAGCAGGGTGTCCCCGTCACCAACCAGGTCAAGAAAAGAGCTGAGGTGGTCAGTTGTAGAACACAAAACCTACAGCAAACCACCCCCCCATACACACACACATACTCACATGTAGTCACACACACTCACACATGAACTCATTCACACGCTCACACACATTTGTAAAGTCACATTCACACACACACACACACACCCCCCAAGGGCAGGTGCTGGAGCACTGTCTAACACAGAGAGAAACTCACAGACCAGAGCCCTTCCCAAGTAGCCTGGAGGAGTACTTCCCAAGTAGCCTGCATGGAGGGGCTGCAGGTAGGAGCTCCGTTGGGATCTGCCAGAGCCCCACGTGGCTGGGCCAGATGCCAAGCCCTGGCACCTGGACAGGCCAAAGGGTGCATCCCGGGGTGCCAGGCCCAGCTCAAGGCTTCTCTGGTGTCAGGGCACCTACCTGGGAGACAGGAAGCCTCTGTGCTTACTTTGTTCATCTAGAAAATAGACCCCAGCCAGTCCCCGGCAGCCTGAGAGCAGTGAGTGTAGAACATCATGCCAGGATGCTCTGAAGAAGGGGTGAGCTTTGGGACTTGTGTGGGGAGGTCAAGGCCAGCAGCTGCACCTGCTTCATGACCTCTGCTAGCTCCCGTGACTCTGCTGGGCCGATTGATTGTTAAAAGCAGATGCGATGGGCAAAATGCCAGCTGCCCCAGCCCATTCCCTTCTCAATTTGTCAGATCAGAACCTCAGCACCACGGAAGATTCTGGATCAGGTGCTGGGGCAGCAGCTTATGTTTCCAGGTGGCGATTGTGCAAGGAGGCCTAGAGCCTGGAGTGGCCGGCACCTGTGACCCGGTCATTCAACTCCTGTGACTTTCTCCTGGGGAGCTGTTGAGGACAGGCTGCGGTGTATCGTTGTAAAGGCCAAAGCCCCGGAAACAGATCAAATATCCAAAATCAAAAGGAAATGCTGGAACCCATCACAGTACATCCATAGGCAGATGTTATGCCACCACTGAAAATGACATCAAGGAGGAATTTGTAAATTTGTGGGAAAACGCCTATGAGGGAATATGAAAGGAAAAGATTACACTGCAAACCTGTTGGCCTGCCAGCATGGTGGGAAGTCACAGCCCCTGCCTAAGCAGGAGGCGCGGCTGTTGGAGCACTCACTGGACAGCAAGCGACAATTGCAGGCTGGGGACCAGGGCCAGGACGAGTCTTGGAGCTGACCTCACAGCAACGGATGCCTGTGCTAATGCCCGTGACCAAGGAAGTGGTGCACGTTACTCGGGGCCATGCTTCAGGCGTGAATTACACAGTTAGGAGCTCCATGCACTTAATACACAAACCCATCTAGAGAAGAGAAAATAGGAAATGAGCATCAAACACACACAAGAAACCCTGCCAGGTGGAGCCAGGAAGGTGGGACAAGATGAACTTGAAGCTGGTCCACCCCGAGTCTGTGGAGCAGATGAACATCTTTCAGAGCCTCCACTAGCCTGGTGCATGGCAACCCGGGAGGACAGCATGGAGGAGGTGTTCTTTGAGCCAACCCTGAAGGAAGGAAGGGGCGGGGGGAGATGAGAGATGGAACTGAGTATGGAGGGAACAACGGGACGCCCAAGGCAACAGAAACCACTCAATGAGACTGAGAGAGGAGACTCTTTGCAGGCCATGGGGAGCAGCGCTTGGTTTTGTACAAGGACAGAGAGTGCTCCTCCAAGAACAAGGCCTGGCGTATCAGTGGTCTCACGACAATCATCGGGCAAAGATGCACCCTCAGTATTGCAGTGGGAATGCATTAGGCTACCGAACCCACCTCCTGAAATCCATCAATCAATGGGCTGAAAAGCAACAGCTGTAGTTCAGCTCAGCTTTCACATTGCCCATGTAGACAAATCCAGCATCCCGGCACCTCCTCCTGGGGAAAATGCAGGCAGCATGGCATCTTCCCGTATGGAAGTCCTGCACTGGACTGCCCAAGCCAACCTCAGAGTTGAGGGAGAGAAAGAGAGAGAGAGATGGGTTTGGGGCGAGAGCTACATTTCCTGGGCCACCAAGTTCATTCGACAAGCATTTGCTGAGCTCCTGCTACACTCCAGGGCACTTTAAACAATTATTCCAATAAAAACTGATATTCATTTCCCAGGGCTGCCGTCACAAAGTACCACAAACCAGGTGACTGAAACACGGCAACGGATTGTCTCAGGGCCCTGGAGGCCAGAAGGTTTCAGCAAGGTTGGTTCCTCCCGAGGGCTGCAAGGGATGGATCTATTCCAGGGCTCGCTCCGCGGCTTGTAGGGTTGTGGTGTTCCCATGGCATTTTCCCTCTATGCGTGCATGTCTCCACATTTCCCCCACCCTGATGGACTCGCTTTAACTTGATTACCTTTTTAAGGACCCTATCTCCAAATAAAGTCAGAGACTGAAGTACTAGGGGTTGGGGCTTCAACACACAAGCTTGGGGAGGACACAGTTCAACCCACAATAACACTGATTGCAAATCTACACAACACTGTCCTCATTTCACAGATCCACAAAACTGAGGCTTGGAGAGAATGGCTAACTTGCCCAAATTATATCCTTCCATCCTGACCTGGCAGAGCCAGAATTTGAATCCCCGTCTGAACTCCAAAGCCTTTGACATTCCCAGCGGGTAAAGGCAACAAATGTGACAAGTGCTGCCGGAAGGCAACAGAAGATGCAGAGTGCTGGCTACGAGAACCCGAAGCTGGACCTTTGGAAGTGGGGAAAATGCAATAGAAGGGAGCTCTCCAAGTCTGGCACCCGATGCCAACGTGCCCCCGAACAAAGCACTTACCAGCTCTGACCCTTGGAGGAGGGGGCACCTTTCCCATCTCCCTCCCTACCCACCTTGGTGGCTGCTCATCGGAGAAACCTGCTGGCCTTCACTTCCAATGTTAAAAGGAAACATTCCCTTCCATGGCGATCTTCTTGGCTATTTGGGTCTTAATGATTACTCCATAATTGTATTGGATACTGAACTATGAAGGAAATATGCATTCTCCTCCCTCCGTGCCTATGGTCTGCAAAACAGAGAGATGATACCATGCTCTGACAGCTGGAGACCAGAGGGCACTTCTCCCCACAAGGCAAGGTTGCAAGGTCCGCAGGGTCCGCCTCCTGGAGAGCCAATGTCCGGCACTGGGCATAGGCTCCACGTGGCTCTGCCGGGACCCTCACCAGCAGGGAAGCCCACTGTTAGTTATTCAACCAACAAATGCCCCAATGGCAGGGAGATATGTAATTCATCACCCTAACTGAACCAGTAGTGAGAGTAAAAGAAAGTGCCGTTGATAATGACAGAGGACAGTGGGCACCCACCACCCAGTCCTGACCGACCAGGATTCATGCCCACCCTACCCAGTGCGCACCCTGCTGATGAATCTCCTTGGAAACTCCTCCTAATCTAATCCGATTGTTGCTCCCTTCCCAGCTCAGCCAAAGACAGAGGGACCGGGAGAAGAGAGTCCCCCGAGTGTGCCCCTGAAGGGAGGCGGCAGGCCTGTGTTCCGGGGATGCCCTCTCGGTTTATCCTTTGGAGTTTCTGGGGATTCTAAGCTTAGATGTAAAAAGATGCTGACCGTTCTGTTGACCTTCTCCCCTTGGGGTCCTGCCCACACAGAGGAGAAGCCTCCAGGGCCAGGCATGTGTACATGGAGCCTTGTCAAGTAGCAAGCCCCTCCCATCTCTGAGAACTTTGGACTGACATCGTCTGCCTTTGCAGGGCACCTGAGGCCCACCTGGCTCTAGAGCAGTGAGGACCAGGCTCACGTGCAAGCTGAATGGACATTTGCTCAGCCTCATCTCCAGTCATGAGAGCGGAACACCCCTCTGAGAGGGAAATGGGGTTCAGGGAACTCTTGATGGGGGTCTCCTGCAGCCCCAGCTCTGCTGACTGTGGGCTCTAGGGGGTGTAGCTTGCCAGGAGGAGAGGGTGGGGCTGAGAGACACAGAGCAGAGAGGGCAGGGCTGAGAAGGCCTCGGGGTTCTGCAAGGGTGAAGAAGTTATCAGGGTGACCTCCCTGTTCATCTCCGCTGCCCACTGCCAGCCACTCTCCACACACCCCAGTGCCATGTTGCTGCCACTTATTGATTGAAAGGGAATTGCTTGTCATCCGCTTTTTATTTCTCCAATGAGTCCCAACATCTTGGTGTCAACGATTAAAAATCCCGTCCTTGTGGTCCTCTCCACATCTTCCTTCCAGGGGCCCAAGGCACCACTCAGGGAGGTCCATGCTTCTGAGGGTATAAAACAATAGATCCATAATGAGATGGCCTTTCCTTTATTCTGATATAGTGAGCAGGATGGAGGAGTGGGTGGAGGGGTGACAGACATGTTTTAAGGATTCTAGGTAGAAATTACAATGGATATCACATCCCACATGCCCACATGTCAGACTAGCAAAGGTTTCAAAGTATGACATTAATGAGACTATAAATTGAGACACCACACCACAGGCCGTGGAGCAAAAGGAATCAAAATCTAAAATGCATACACCCTTGAGCTCAGCCATTCCCTCCCTGGGAACTTGTCCCAAGCAGATCATTAGACAGCTGTGCAAAAAGTAACTATTCAAATCACAGTGGAACAAGCTAAATGCCCATGATTATGTGGTTGGTTACATAAATGATGATGTTGAATCAATGGAACCTACTGCAGACATTAATAAGAATGATATGTACCAACATTCACTCACAAAGGTTAATGGTGTGCCAAGTGAAAGCAGAAGACTACAACTCGTACAACATCCTCTTGTTTCTATAAAGTTGCGTGTGTGTGTGTGTGCGCATGTGTGTGTGTGTGCACGCGCGCCTATTTGCTTAGAAGAGATTTGAATAATGGCTCCTCTGGAAAGAGGCAAGAGGGATGTGAGGATAAATTTTTAATTCTCTATTATTTAGTATGTTTCATGGTTAAATATATAAATGTGCATTATCTATATTATCAGAAGAAAAGGGTTTTTCATTTCAAAAAATATGCAAAGGTAACTTCCCTACTTTTCTGAACTCTCAACATAACTTGAGGTGACGCTATATTTGTAGACTGCCGGAATTTTATGGTTAATTTCATATGTCAACTGGACTAGGCTATGGTACCCAGAAATTTGGTCAAACATCAGTCCAGATCACTGTGAAGGTATTTTTAGATGAGACTAATATTGAAATCGGAGGACATTGAGTAAAGCGGATTACTGCTTGTAATGTGGTTGGATCTCATGCACTCACTTGAAAGCCTTAAGGGAAAAAAATTGAAGTCGCTGAGGAAGAAAGAATTTGCCTCCAGATGGCCTCAGAGGCCCGAGACTGCATCATCAACCCTTCCCTGGGTCTCCAGCCTGTTGGCCTCCCCTGCAGATTTCAGACTTGTGGCCTCCACAAACTAATGAGCCAATTCCTCAAGATAGATAGATAGATAGATAGATAGATAGATAGATAGATAGATAGATAGATAGATAGAGATAGCTAGATGATAGACAGATAATAGACAGCAAGATGATAGATGATAGATTGATAGATAATAGATAATCGGTAGATAGCTAGAGAGAGAGATAATAGGTGGGTAGGTAGATAGATCATAGGTAGGTAGGTAGATAGCTAGATGATTGATTGAGAGATAGATAGATAGATAGATAGATAGATAATAGATAATTGGTAGATAGCTAGAGAGAGAGAGATAATAAGTGGGTAGGTAGATAGATCATAGGTAGGTAGGTAGATAGTTACATGATTGATTGATTGATAGATAGATAGATAGATAGATGATAGAGAGATATATATAGATGATAGACAGATAATAGACAGCGAGATGATAGATAGATAGATAGATAGATAGATAGATAGATAGATAGATAGATAGATAATAGATAATTGGTAGATAGCTAGAGAGAGAGAGAGAGATAATAGGTGGGTAGGTAGATAGATCATAGGTAGGTAGGTAGATAGATGATTGACAGAGAGAGAGAGAGAGAGAGAGAGATAGACAAACAGACAGATAGACAGAGACATCCCACTGGTCCTGTTTCTCTGGAGTATCCTAACTAGTACAACTGCTTTTGATCCTCTTCATAGACTTTATTTTTTAGAGCAGTTCTAGGTTCACAACAAAATTGAACAGGAGGTACAGAAATTTCCCACATATCCTAGCCCCACATACGCACAGCCTCCCCGCCTATCAACATCCCCCACCAGGGGGGGTACTTTGTTACAGTCACTCTTTCTCTGATCTTTTCACTGTCTCCATTGTTTTGCCTTTTCCAGGATTGGAACCACAGTTGGAATCACACACTATGTGGCCTTTTCAGGTTGGCTTCCCTTCGTTAGTAATATGCATTTAAGGTTCTTTCATGTCTTTCCATAATTTGATAGCTCATTTCTTTATACCGCTGAATAATATTCCATCGTCTGGATGTACCATCGTTCATCCCTTCATCCACTGAAAAACGTCTTGGTTGCTTCCAAGTTTGGGCAATTCTGAATAAAACTGCTGTAAGCATGTGTGTGCAGGTTTCTGTGTAAATGCAGGCTTTTTACTCCTTTGGGCAAACACCAAGGGGCACACTTGTATCATATGGAAAGAGCATTTTAGTTTTGTAGGAAGCTGCCAAACTGTCCTCCAATGTGGCTGTTCCGTTTTGCGTTCCTTCCGGTAGTGGATGAGCATTCCTGCTGCTCCACAGCCTCACCAGCATTTAGTGTTGTTGGTGTTCCAGATGTTGGTCATTGTGACAGGTGTGCAGTAGTCTCTCGTTGTTGTTTGCTTTGATTTTTCCACACGAATTACAAGGCAGAATGTTTTCTGGCTCCCATTTTACACAGCAGGATGCCGTGACCCCTGAAGGCTAAATGACTTGCCAATGGGATCAGTCAACTGGAGGCAAGGCCAGGGCAGCACCCAGCCTCCCTGCCTCTCTGGCCAGAAACTTTCTTCTAGATACTTTATTCAGAGCCAATGAGAATCAGCAGTTGGGAGCAAATAGGGGGAAGGCAAAGTAATTGCCTGGACCAGGCCAGGGCTCTCTGCAAGATGGCGGAGCAGGGAGCCACAGAGTAGAACAGGGCCTGCCTAAGGACCAGCCCTCCAGTCTGATGCACCTGCACACCGCTTCTGTCTCCCAGATCTTGGTTTTCCAGATTGTCCTGTGCCCATTCTAGCTTCAGCCTCCCAGGACAAAAGTTCCTCTTATGGGGCCTGGCAACCCCACAAGCAGGGACAGCCCCAGCTCTCTACAAAGGATGGAACTGAGTGTCTCACTCATGCCAACAGAGCCCCATCCCAGATGTGCGACAGAGGGAGGGAAGTTCCCATCCTCCTGGAACCCTAGTCTTAGCTTGAGGAGTGTCTCTCACAGACCCCTCATTCTCTTTCCACATATCCTGGGGCTTCCACAGACACCAGGACGTCAGGAACTGGTCTAGCAGAAAGGGCCTGAGAGTGGGGTTACAGATAAAATACGAGACGCTATGTTGAATTGGAATTTTAGATGAGCAACAAATAATTATTTAGTGTAAGCGTGTCCCATGTAAATATTCCTTCCTCAATTTGTATTTGCTATGTCTGCAGCTCTGCCAGAGATGACTCAACTCAGGGCTCCCATCTAGGGTCCTCAGCTCCCAAAGAATCAGGGCCTACGAGTTCCTTGCAGAATTGCAGAAAGCCTGTGGCATTTCTGTGGGTGCAGGAACTCCCAAGCCTCTTTGACTAAATCCTATTAGCTGGTGTGCCAGTTCTGGCTGGCAGTGCCTGGTGACCGAGGCTATGGCTGGAAGTGAGTGGGGTCTCTGACAGGGACAGGGAATTAGGAGGCACTCTAACCTGGTGGATCCCTCCTATGGTGGGGGAGGGGTGGGAGTTGGGGAGGGAGCCGGGGGTGGCTAGCAAAACTATTTCAGGGTGTGGATTCCACCGGATGAATAATAAACAGGATCCTTTCTTATGAAAAGGTCAGGGACCCCCCATTTTACAACCAGGGGACCAACGTCCACAGCATAATTCTCCTTGGACGAACTTTTCACTGCATCTGGGTTTCTCCATCCATTTTACTCGAGTCCCAGTGTTCCCAGCCAACCCCTCGCCGTGAGTGGGGACTAGCCCCTCCCCAGCAGCTGTGTAAGGAGCCAGTGTTTGATGTCTGGGGTCAGAACTGCTGCTCCTGCAAATCATCGGTCTCAGCGGAAACCAATGTCTCAACCCCTCCATCTGTCAAGCGGGGCCAGCCCAGAGAGCAGCTGCTTTGGTGGGTACTAAAAGGACACGGCAGCAAATTCTAGAACCAAAGGTCAAATCGCTTGATTACAAGGTTTTTTAAAACCCAAAGTTAAAGATCCATTTGCCTTCAGCACAGACCAGCTGGCCGGCTCTGTCCACCCACTCATCTGCCCAGCCCATGAAGGGCCCACCCCCTCCATCACTTGGGTCTGCAGGGCATGTGTGAGACCTTGTGTGGGAAAACAGCTTTGTCTCCATCCCCCGCAGGTGGGGATCAGCAATCTGGTGACCCGGGAAAAGGTAAGAAAAGCCCCTTGGACTGAGGGCACAGTGGACACCGTGCATTCCCCTGTGCTTGGAGGGAAGTGCTGGGCGTCGTCACAGGGACAGCCACTGCTTCGGGAGGGAGACGGGCCACTAGCAACACGCACCCTCTAGGGCACTTCTCGTTTGCACACCTCCACCTTATGCATACATTTCCCAAGTCGTGCGCTGAGCTCCTACTGTATGCAAACCTATAGGAGAGAGTAACTTAATTCCCACACTGTCTGAGAGAGAAATTCTCTCCATGGCTGCACTTCCCAGGGAACAAGACAGGCACAGAGAAGCTAAGTGAGAGTTGGTGGGGGACAGAGACTACAGGGAGCGACCCCAGTGAGTGGCTCCCGTGCTGGCTCCTGAGCCCAGGCCCTTGCCTCACAGCTGTTCCTGGCGGCACCTGCAGCCCAGATAACTTGGGATAACGATCAGACATTATTATGTCTGGTACTAATAAAAGTGTGGGTTCTCCCACTATCAACCGCACAAATGTCCTTTGGCAGACAAATGATTTTTAGCCTCTTAGCCTAAAAAGATGCCTTAGGGAGTGGGGAGCTCGTGTTTCAGGGAGACAGAGTTTCCGTCTGGGAAGATGAAAGGGCTGTGGGGTGGATGGTGCTGCACCACAGCGCGAGTGTGCTTCATGCCACAGAACTGTGTGCTTAAAAAAAGTTAAGGGGCGAAATTCTGTTACATGTATTTTACCACAATAAAATAAAAAAGAAATTAAAGATGAATTACTCTGAATCCTGGATCCCAGGACTAGTGAACTGAAATCTCCCCAGTCATGCTGGGGAGAGCTGCTTAGCCCTCACTCCAAGCAAGTCCAGTGCCGCAGGGCCTCTGCGGTCTCTTCTGGAAGCCTCCCGGAATGAACAGATGGCCGTGCAGAGTGGCTCGGGGTGGCCATGCATGCAGCAACGCTCAGCGACCCTGGCCTCTGTGCCTGTGGCCTGCCTGCCCCAACCAAGCCCCCACCCCCACCAAAGCACAGGCGTCTGGGAGGGGCATTCTGCCCTTTTGAGGCTCACCTGGGTAGCAGAGGGAGAGGAGAGCAAACAAGGTGGCCAAGCCCAACAGCAGGTCATCTGCACACCCTCCTGGGCACCTGTCAGCACATATGGGGCAAGTCCACCCTCCAAGACATCATCCTTCAGCCTACAGGTCAGAGCTGAGAGAGGTGCGTCTGCTGGGAGGGTTGACTGTCAGAGAGCCACTGGCCTCGTAGGGAGGCTAATCACCCATCATACAGAGACAGTGGCTGACTGGGGCTGCTGACCAGGGCCATTCCAACTCCCCCTTATTCTGGATGAGGCGGTAGTGCCATCATCCACTAATCAGGGTTGCTTTAAGCACGATGGTGTTCCCATAAGCTCTGCTGATGGCCTTCCTATTATTGCTTTTCAGACGGAATATTTAGGATAGCAGAAAATACTATGAAAAAAGGGATATTAGGTTTAGATTGACCATAACAAAATTATTATAAGACCAAGCTATGTAGTTTATACTGTATCATTAACTACACACTCTCCCAGTGTGCTGCTCAGCAGACCAGCAAAGCCAGCATTCACTGAAGATTTCAATCTTGGTGAGCAATAAACTCAGCGTTTTGCATAAATAGATTTGCACAAACTCTGTTTACTGTGATTCCCACATATAGCGGATGGGAAAGCATGTCCGCAGAGGAGCCCTTCTTCTCTGGGAGGTTTGAGCAGCACAGAGGCAAACCCGGTAAGTCAGTGCAGGTGGGTTGAGCAAAAGGCAGCACCATGGAATTTTATAGCAGGAAGGCTAGGATCCCCCCTCTGTGCTTCAACTGCATGTCAAGATTCTGCATCTGACTTTTTCATCTGCTCCAGAGAGCTCTTAGATTGCAAGTATAACATCCAAACCAATAACACCTCCTTGAGCATCAGAGACCAGAGATGGAGACGCAGCCAGTGTGGACACCTCCAAGCCAGATGCTGAGTGAGAAGGAGCTGGGTCTTGAGCCTTCCTCCCTCCAACCCGCCAGCCCTTTCTGTAGGTCATCCACAGCAGCCTTCGGAGGTCAGACCTGTGGCCAGGGGCATCCCTCGTTGTCCCTTAGTGCTCATGGGTACATTTACCAAGCACACTGCTGATTCATTATTCATCAGCGTGAGCAAATGAGCCAGCTTCCCATGGCTGCTGTAACACATTTTCACATACTCAGTGGCTTGAAGCAACACAGATTCCTCCTTTTACAGCTCTTGAGATCAGAAGTCCTTAAATTAAGCTGGTGGCAGGGCCCACAGATTCTGGGTGGGAACCACTGCCTTGACCCTTCCAGTTTCCAGAAGCCACTCGCACTCCTTGGCTTGTGGGCTCTGATAGAATTTGACTGTGTTCCCACCCAGATCTCATCTTGAATTGTAGTTCCCATAATGCCCACACGTCCTGGTGGGGACCCAGTGGGAGATAACTGAGTCATGGGGATGGTTACCCTCATGCTGTTCTCATGATGGTGAATGAGTTCTCACAAGATCTGATGGTGAAGAAGGACGTGTTTGCATCCTCTTCTGCCATGATTGTTAAGTTTCCTGAGGCCTCCCCAGCCATGCTGAACTGTGAGTCAATTAAACCTCTTTCCTTTATAAACTACCCAGCTTCAGCTATGTCTTTATAGCAGTGTGAGAACGAACTAATACAGGCTCTTTCCTCACATCATTGTGACCTCTACTTGTCACCAGATGAATCTGCAAAGTTCCTTTTGCTATGTCAGGTGACAGACGCACAGGTTCAGAGATCAGGACATGGACATCTTTGGGAGTCATCATTGCGTCTAGCACAGTAAATCCTGTTGTTCTCTGTAATTGTATGGTACAGGATGGTTTATGAACGTTCTTGCTTGTTTAACAGAACAGAACCTTTTATTTGAAGTATATTGGCTGTGAGCACAAAAGTAAGCCTGTCTGCAGGGGAGGAGGAGTTGGGAGGTAGTGAACAAAATATGGAAAATGCTCTCCCCAAAAGCCACCCCAGTCTTGGCATGCTCCGGGGACAGACAGTAGCCCTCACACTCAGAGGGTCACAGCACAGGAAGGCAGTGCAGGCAGGTGCAGAGAGGACCCAGCTCTGTCTTCTCAGTTCTTGCCTTAAAAGCCCATGAGTATTTATGAGGTTGTGTGCCTAAGAGCCTCATCAGCTTTCGGAAACCTTAATTTCACTTCATAATCATGAAAGCTCTGCTCTTCCAGGGTGTGAGATCATCACGCATGTCTTTCTAACAATAACCTGTCATCACTCTCTGCTACACCCTCTGAAACTAACGCACACTTCTCGGCCTGATGCTGCCTCTCAGGGATCTCCTGGCTCTTTATGCTGCCTGCTGGTGGTGGGTGAGGGTCCCAGGATAAGCCCAGCTTGCAGGACAGTTCCACCTTGGGGATTTATGGATTTCAAAGGCAAGCAGAATTTCTATTTGCACCAGGATGCAGTAGTCCCCTTGGGAGAACAATATAGAGATCTTAGAGATGGGTGCTCTGGCATTGGGGCACCCAGACTAAGATTATCAGGCAAAGAGTCTGGGGAGAGGTTCAGAGTCTCCTCCTAGCCCTAGTAACACACAGTAAAAATGTACAGGCTCACACACCCAATAATTCAGGGGTCAACAGGTTTCAGGTATAGCTGGATCCAGGGGCTTAGGCAACATCATCAGGAACTGTTTTAATTCTCCGTCTCAGTCCAGGGCCCACCCCCCCAATCCTGCACTCACACAATCCTGAGTAATAGAGCCTTAAATTTTCTGCTTCCCAGGTCCCTCACTTGCCTCACTACAGTCCCGGCCCTGCTGTCATGTCCATTCTTAAGCAGGCTCTTCCCTTCATGGTAACAGAATGGCTACAGAGCTCCGGCTCTCCATACATACAGATCTGGTTCTATGGGAAGAGGGGTCCCCTTCCCCAATAGCTCAGAATGTCAGAATTTGGTCTACTTGGCTGGTTGTCACACCCCTCCTGGGTTCCCAGGGACCTGCTATGTAAAAAGATCATGGGATGAGGGTTGGGAAGGGGTCATTTTCTTAAAGAAAAGCTGTGGACTGGATTCGGGGCAGCAAAAGCCACAAGTTTTCTCCTTGGCCAGTAATTCGCCATGAGGTAAAGGCAAGTCCATGTCTGGGGCCACTGCGACATTCGATCATCCACAGAGGAAGGGTGGATCTTTGAGAGTGGATGCTGGTCTCTTGCTGATCCAAACTGCAGGGAGTGATTTTTTTCTAGTTCTTTAAGAGTTCATTGCTCTTGAATTCTACCATCCATAAAGCCTCAGGGCATGAACACAACTCCCTCAAGTTCTTTGCAAATGTATAACAAGGATGGCCTTTGCTCCAGTTTCCAATACCTTATTCCTCATTTCCCCTGAGACTTCATCAGAATGATCATTACCATACATATTTCTGTCAGCATTCTAGTCATGACCACTTAAGTTAACTCTAAGATGTCCCAGACTTTCCCTAGTCTCTCTTCTTCTGGGACCTCACCAGAATTGCCCTTAATGTTTCATCTATGGCAATACAACCTTTTTTCAGCATTCATTTCAAAACTGTTCCAGCCTCTACTCAAGATCCAGTTTCAAAGCCACTTCCATGTTTTCAAGCATTTGTTATAGCAACAGCCCCACTTCCCAGCACCAACTTTCTGTCTCTGTTTTGTGTTGCAGTATCAGAATTCCACAGTGTGAAATGTATATTGAACAGAAATTTACTTTGCTCATGATTCCAGAGGCTGGGAAGTACAAGAGCATGGCACCAGCATCTTACGAGGGCCCTAGTGCTGCATCATCCAATGGCAGAAGTCAACAAGTGGCAAGGGAGGGCACAGGTGGAGAAAAGAAAGGACCAAATCTGCTTTCATGACAATTCACTCTTGGGAGAACAAACCTACTCCCACAAGAACAACATTAATTCATTTTAATCACTTCTGAAAAGTCCCGTCTCTCAATACTCTTGCATTGGAGATTAA